AGGACACCTAGTTACAGAAATGGAGGTTAATATTCCAATATACGACTTAACATTAGCTAATTGACTAGAGCTTATCTCATGCTGCTGTCACATGTTTCAGATACACAATCCTCATCAGGACAGAAGAGCTTTATTGGAGTTTAGAGGGGGTGGCTACAGATGTATCCAATGAAAGCGTATAGACGTGTACCTGCAGGAGAGAGGGGGTGGGTACAGATGTATCCAATGAAAGCGTATAGACGTGTACCTGCAGGAGAGAGGGGGTGGGTACAGATGTATCCAATGAAAGCTTATAGACGTGTACCTGCAGGTGTCTTCATTAAAAGTTTATGATCATCATAAAATTCTAAAATCTACTTTTGGTACTATATATTGATTTAGTTATGAAATTTATTTTCAATGATTTTTGAAATAAAAAAAATATCAGCTTGAAAAGATTGCGTAGGAATAAATCTGAGAACATCTGACTCAATTCAAATAAAACTTACTTTACTATCTGTTTTTTATAACACAGCAGATATTTTCTTTATGTCAGAAATCTATAGCTGTGAATTTAATGATTTTTATTCTGATGCATAGACTGCTAGTGTTATTCAGTATAGTTTATTTAAATCATGTGATGAAAGGGATGAGTGGGGGCCACAGATAGGTCTGGTTATCAATTAATAAATTCAGATCAATTAACATTGCCCAATAATCCATTAATAATTTAATTAAATATTTTAAATCATGTCCAAATTTTGAATTTCAATGGTTATTTTGTATCAAAGAAGTATTTTCTTGTTTTGATCTGTTATTATAGTTTATTGTGGGTATGTTATGTGTTATAGAAGTATATTCTTGTTTTGATCAGTTATTATAGTTTATTGTGGGTATGTTATGTGTTATAGAAGTATATTCTTGCTTTGATCAGTTATTATAGTTTATTGTGGGTATGTTATGTGTTATAGAAGTATATTCTTGTTTTGATCAGTTATTATAGTTTATTGTGGGTATGTTATGTGTTATAGAAGTATATTCTTGCTTTGATCAGTTATTATAGTTTATTGTGGGTATGTTATGTGTTATAGAAGTATATTCTTGTTTTGATCAGTTATTATAGTTTATTGTGGGTATGTTATGTGTTATAGAAGTATATTCTTGCTTTGATCAGTTATTATAGTTTATTGTGGGTATGTTATGTGTTATAGAAGTATATTCTTGTTTTGATCAGTTATTATAGTTTATTGTGGGTATATTATGTGTTAAGGGTTTAGAAAATGTAACTTATAATTGATTGTGAAATTTGATAAGCGAAATTCAAAATTCTTAGCGATGATAATTGATTATTCTAATTATTTTATAATAATATTATTGATTTGAAATGACATAACACAGTGTTAATACAGTAAGCTTATAACCATCTGTTGATTAGAATTCACTAACAAATGAAAGGTAATTACCTCCTTAATTGAAAATATATTAATCTTCAAAAATATAGAGGAACCTGAACTTGCAATTTGGATATAAAGTGTAACAATTGGCTTAGAAAGACAGACAGATGGGCCATTTTGGGTATGGGGGTGGGACTTGATCTTTAAAACACACAGCCTGAAGTCTGTCTCGGTTTATTGTCCCATCAGAACGACTAGACACTTTTTATATGTCAACCCCAAACTGCATCACTGACAAAGGGAAACTTGGTTGAATATCGTAAGGTATGATTTTGACGTCTGCCAGGTTTGAATCTCAGCATACTAGGTTTGTTAGCCAGGTCCAATTTAGTCAAATCAACCCAAACAGAGCAGATGTTTTGTTGACTAAGAAGAACAGGTGGGGGAATGAGGATATTACTTTGTCATAAAATACTTCATTATCACCCTGACTGAAACAATAGACCCTTTTCTACTCCCCTTTTCTCTCTAATACTTTAACATTAGCACCCTAAAATAATAGTCAATAGCCCTGAGGTGATGGTTTACTGACACGGTCCCTGCCCATTGTTTTTAGGGGGTGACTAATCGCTTTTGTCTGTATGGTCATTAACAGTTTTACAATCTACCATTGTTTCGAGGGGCAGACAGATGATTTAAATAGTTAATTGTTAGAATTTTGTTGGTTTAATTAAAACATTTAAACAGTTTTCAGTTTTATATTTATTGAACCCAGCCCCGTCACCAGGAATGAATTGGTGTTGAGGCTCAGATTTTGTACTCAGAAAATTTAAAGAATCAAAGACCCAGAGAACTTATTTCTGACAATATTGAGGTGCCAAAAACGTATCAAAATCTATATCTTTTTGATTTTATATAAAATCGATTGTAAATGAATCAATCTCTGCTGAACTGAAGAAGGTTTTGCTGGGGCTTAATTCTCACTGGCTGGGGTCCAGCTCCCACAGACCCCACCCTAAAGACAGGGTTTATTGAAGGTCAGGAGTAAGATTTAAACTATGTTTTTATATCTAGTTAGTTATTCCTTATTTTTTTAATAAGCTGTTTCGAGGAATCAAATAACTTTTCATCTTCAGCAGTTCATTTTTATACGCCCACATCTCTCTATGTGGACGTATATTGTCGGCACCCCTGTCCGTCCGTCCGTCAACATTTGCTTGTAAACGCAGGATTTTTTGATGGAATCAAATGAAATTCGGTACGTGTATACATATTCATAAAACGAAGATCAAGTTCGAATTTGAACTATTAACATCTGCATACCGTGGTGGGCGTATATGGCTGTGGTCCCCTGTTAAATTATCTCTTAGATTTTAAACCTAGAGGAAAGACAGGTTACTGTAGTAGTATTTAGGTAAATATAGTAAAACTCTGTAAATAGAGAAATCAAATCAACTCTGTGTGTGTTTTTAGGTTCAGTTTGTTTGTTGTATAAAATAAACAGAAACATCACCTGATCTTATCTTATAGATTACAATAGTCTATCAAACTATACTTATACATGTTCTGTTTAAACTTGGTGGTAGATAGATGAATAAAAGAATGAATAAATGAATAGACAGATTAGTGTGCATAGATGGATGATTAATAGCAAATCCAGAAAAATAAGAAAATAAATAAACATCAAGTTAAAAGAAATATCTAAATGGCCAAATAGTCAGCAAGCGAGAGAATGAATGAATAAATCAAAAACAAACTAATTAATGAATAAACTAATTAATATATGAACTAATCAATAAATGAACTAATTGATGAATGAACTAATCAATAAATGAACTAATTAATGAATGAACTAATTAATGAATGAACTAGCTAATGAATGAACTAATTAATTAATGAACTAATTAATATATGAACTAATCAATGTATGAACTAATTAATGAATGAACTAATTAATGAATGAACTAATTAATATATGAACTAATAAATGAATGAACTAATTAATGAATGAACTAGTTAATAGATGAATGAACTAATTCATGAATGAACTAATTCATGAATGAACTAATTCATGAATGAACTAATTCATGAATGAACGAATTAATATATGAACTAATGAATGAATGAACTAATTAATGAATGAACTAATTAATGAATGAACTAATTAATGTATAAACTAATTAATGAATGAACTAAATAATAAATGAACTAATTAATTAATGAATAAATTAATTAATGAACTAATTAATGTATGAACTAATTAATGAATGAATAAATTAATGAATGAACTAATTAATGAATGAACTAATTAATGTATGAACTAATGAATGAATGAACTAATGAATGAATGAACTAATGAATGAATGAACTAATTAATGAATGATCTAATTAATGAATGAACTAATTAATGTATGAACTAATTAATGAATGAACTAAATAATGAATGAACTATTTAATTAATGAATGAATTAATGAATGAACTAATTAATGAATGAACTAATTAATGAATAAATGAGTGGATGAAAGACATAATGAAAACATTCAAAAATCAAATTATGATAAATAATTGACTGAATTTTCTACGAACCTTGCCAGGGTAGGTTATAGGGTCCACGATTACAAAATCTTTCGTTCCTCGATAGACACAGTTGATATTCTCCACCGAGTCAGTATGGACCACAGAATTTGTTCCCCCACTACTGAACCACATCATCTGCAAAAAACATATCCCCCAAAAATTAGTAACCATCTTTCTCTATAAATATTTTAAGTCAAAAGACAATCTTTAGTTTTAATATGTTTATTTTCGTGTAAAAATTACATTTTGATCAAAAAATGACTTAGGGACATAGTTTTCTGTTGATTTAGATGATCATTGCTACAGAGTTTGATTTAGATGATCATTGCTACAGGGTTTGATTTAGATGGTCATTGCTACAGAGTTTGATTTAGATGATCATTGCTACAGGGTTTGATTAGATGATCATTGCTACAGAGTTTGATTTAGATGATCATTGCTACAGGGTTTGATTTAGATGATCATTGCTACAGGGTTTGATTAGATGATCATTGCTACAGAGTTTGATTTAGATGATCATTGCTACAGGGTTTGATTTAGATGATCATTACTACAGAGTTTGATTTAGATGATCATTGCTACAGGGTTTGATTTAGATGGTCATTGCTACAGAATTTGATTTTGATGATCATTGCTACAGAGTTTGATTTAGATGATCATTGCTACAGGGTTTGATTTAGATGATCATTACTACAGAGTTTGATTTAGATGATCATTGCTACAGGGTTTGATTTAGATGGTCATTGCTACAGAATTTGATTTTGATGATCATTGCTACAGAGTTTGATTTAGATGATCATTGCTACAGGGTTTGATTCTAGTATATCCTTAGGTTGAATAGAATTTGTGGCTAGGTGGGGATAACCTGTATAATGTTCAGCTTTTTTCTCTCTACATGTGTATTTGTACGCAGGCAATGGACATAAAATTTACTTACATTTTCTACGAGTTGGTCTTTCATGATGTCCGGACATTGTAAACAGCATGGGAGGATGACATCTTGACTGAAATATTTACACAATGTTTCTACAATTTACATTAGATACAATGTTTCTACAATTTACATTAAATACAATGTTTCTACAATTTACATTAAATACAATGTTTCTACAATTTACATTAAATACAATGTTTCTACAATTTACATTAGATATAATGTTTCTACAATTTACATTAGACACAATGTTTCTACAATTTACATTAAATACAATGTTTCTACAATTTACATTAGATATAATGTTTCTACAATTTACATTAGATACAATGTTTCTACAATTTACATTAGACACAATGTTTCTACAATATACATTAAATACAATGTTTCTACAATTTACATTAAGTACAATGTTTCTACAATTTACATTAAATACAATGTTTCTACAATTTACATTAGATATAATGTTTTTACAATTTACATTAGATACAATGTTTCTACTATTTACATAAGATACAATGTTTCTACAATTTACATTAGATACAATGTTTCTACAATTTACATTAAATACAATGTTTCTACAATTTACATTAGATACAATGTTTCTACTATTTACTTTAAATACAATGTTTCTACTATTTACATTAGATATAATGTTTCTACAATTTACATTAGATACAATGTTTCTACAATTTACATTAGATACAATGTTTCTACAATTTACATTAGATACAATGTTTCTACTATTTACTTTAAATACAATGTTTCTACAATTTACATTAGATATAATGTTTCTACAATTTACATTAGATACAATGTTTCTACAATTTACATTAGACACAATGTTTCTACAATATACATTAAATACAAAGTTTCTACAATTTACATTAAGTACAATGTTTCTACAATTTACATTAAATACAATGTTTCTACAATTTACATTAGACACAATGTTTCTACAATTTACATTAGACACAATGTTTCTACTATTTACATTAGATATAATGTTTCTACAATTTACATTTAGTACAATGTTTCTACTATTTACATTAGATACAATGTTTCTACTATTTACATTAAATACAATGTTTCTACAATTTACATAAGATACAATGTTTCTACAATTTACATTAAATACAATGTTTCTACAATTTACATTAGATACAATGTTTCTACTATTTACATAAGATACAATGTTTCTACAATTTACATAAGATACAATGTTTCTACTATTTACATTAAATACGATGTTTCTACAATTTACATTAAATACAATGTTTCTACTATTTACATAAGATACAATGTTTCTACTATTTACATTAAATACAATGTTTCTACAATTTACATTAGATACAATGTTTCTACAATTTACATTAAATACAATGTTTCTACTATTTACAAAAGATACATAGACAACGGCACTGAACAAAAAAAAATGTTTACGTCCTTTATTTCAATGTTTTTACTTTCAATCAATCAAACAAAAATCTCATTTAATAGATTGTTTTCCTGATTGATTGAGTTGAATTATATTTCAAAAAACTATATAATAAAACAGAGTTCTGAAATTTATTAATTCATTTATTCATTGGCAGTATTTCTGATTACCATAAATAATAAATAATAAATAATAAATAATAAATAATAAATAATAAATAATATATGATAAATATATTGTACTATTTTGATATTTGATAAAGTAAAAGATGGAATAATTTGTAGATTTGGAAGTCAATTTGATATTTTCATTAAAAATTAATGTATCATATTAAAGGGACTGATTGGCCATTTTCTGGGGCTGATTTGAGTCTTGAATATATGTAAATAGTCCTCAGAAATACTAGATATGTACGAAAATCACATAATTCCTTCAAAAATATCTCAAACTATTTCTATATATGTCTTTTCTATATATCACAGATTTTCAAGAAAAGACAAGTCATCGTGTTAACTTTCAAATGCAGATAATTCTGGACACACATGGATTTAAAGGCTCAAAATTTTGATGGTGAATTGTAAATAATATTACTGATAAGCTCAGCTAAATAATTCCTGTTTCTGTCTCTGTAATTTAAGTTAAATTAAAGAATAAATCAGAGAGTTACTCACCTTAAATATTCAGGCACTGTATCCACCATATAAAACGATGAACTGTTGTAAATTTTAACAAAACGTTGAAAATTCATATCCAACGTTTCTTGATCTCGGCTTTCTTTCTTCACGGTCTCCAAGTGAACTTTACTGTCTTTAGGAATGTCTAATTTGAGGAAGTATTGGTCCGTCCAGAGTTGGAACGCAGGCGATAATTTCGCTCCATTTTTAAATTTGACAGGTTTTTGAGGAAGATAATAATTCTTAAAAAATGTTTCTGGATCTGGGAATTCCACGATTTCTTCTACTGGATGGACCGGACGCCCGGTTCCGAACCGTTTTCCATGACCTGGCTCCTTCGTTAAATCAATTTCTGAATTTACTCTGGTTAACAAAGTCACAAAAACACAAAGAAATATCACTGATAGAGATGAGTTCATATTCATATAAAAAATGTTCATTTTGAAATTGTGTGTAGTTTCACAAAAATATCTTCTAGTTTAAAACGATATCAGTGAGAGACGAGAAATTTCACCAACTTTCTAAACTTCAGTCAATAATTTTTTTAATTCAGTCAGCTAGTATCAAATATTAACTATAACCTGGTTGATTCGTATCACCAGATTCGAAACGTTCAATAAATTCTTTAGAATTATGTTGAATACCTGAAATAAAATGAAATGAAAATCTGTTGCAATTCAATATTATTATATAAAATAAATTAAGATTTATTCTAAAAAAACCATTACCAAGTTAATATCATAGTAGAGAGCAAACATCAATAATATTTATAAAATTATAGAATGCAATCTGTTACAAATTATAATGTTTAAATATAACCTAAATTTACTTCACCGTGATATTACCATGTTTAATAGCCTAATAGGAATTCAACAGATTTGAACTATCGATCAGTCATCTTGATCTGACTCTTTTTGCCAACTGTGTTAAGATTTAACTGTGTTTGCCAATCATGTTCAGCAGAAGATTAAAATATCTGGCTATGACTTCCTTATTAAGGATATTTTTTAATTATGAAAATGAGACAGTTCACTAATTGTTCATTATTTTAAAAATTAAATTCAAATTTAGAGATGCATGCTTACGTTCTTCTGAAGTCTATCGTTAATCAGGGATTTTGTTTTAGGCACATTTGCAAACTATGTATGACAGGTGCTACAACTGTTGCATTCTAAAATTAGTTGTAATAAATAAACCAAGAACTACTAATCTGAACAGCAGAACCAAACCCAAAATCAGAACAATATTAAGTAAGTATAATGATACGTAATGAAAAGTGGTATCAGATGTCTAGAAGAGTAAGTATACCCTGCCTGGCCTTTCAATACTGTATCAATCATAAGTAAGTAAGTATTTCATAGTGAAAAGTGATATCAGGTGTCTAGAAGAGTAAGAATACCCTGCCTGGCCTTTCAATACTGTATCAATCATAAGTAAGTAAGTATTTCATAGTGAAAAGTGATATCTGATGTCTAGAAGAGTAAGTATACCCTGCCTGGCCTTTCAATACTGTATCAATCATAAGCAAGTAAGTATTTCATAGTGAAAAGTGGTATCAGGTGTCTAGAAGAGATAGAATACCCTGCCTGTCTGTTAATGGTTTGATTTAGGAGCAAAATATGTTGGCTTGAGGAGAAAACATTCAAACTATAGTCAAATATGTATTACCTTGGAAGAAAACAGTGTTAAAGGAGAAAGAGGAAAGAAAATAACTAGATGTAATAGGATATGTTTGTTGATATTACGACTCAACAAGATCCTGTTAGTAAGAATATATACTGACTGTCTGACTATCTGACTGACTGACTGACTGACGGTGTTATATTTGTATCACAAAGTGTTACAGTTATATATAACTATCATGGGGAAATAAAATAGTTTTATATCCTACTGTTCGTCTCAGGAGCCAATGAAATGAAATTCTACATCAATTTACTGTTTCCTTTTATAATCATTAACCCATAAACATACAAAAAGATATTGGTTTGGGGTGGGGGAGCCCACAGGAGTCTGTAATATATACATGATCAGAGCTAAATTCCTTCACTTCAAATAAAAATTCCTTAAAGGGACTTAGTACAAGAATTTCCTTTAACAATATCTCAAACTAGGAATTTTACACATTTCTATATATATCTTTTCTATATATCACAGAGTATCTTAAATTGACCAGTCCTCATTTTAATTTTCAAACATGGATAATTCTGGGCACACAAGGCTCCAATTTCGATGGCGGGCTGTGAACACTATTACTGATTGGTTTCCTAGAAAAAAATTCTCATTTCTGAGACTAAAGTATGACTGGTCAAAAAATGGCCCACCTGTCCCTTTAGACGTGAGTTTAACTTACCACCTAGTCGACTAGTTTCTCGTCAGTTTAACTTACCACCTAGTCGACTAGTTTCTCGTCAGTTTAACTTACCACCTAGTCGACTAGTTTCTCGTCAGTTTAACTTACCACCTAGTCGACTAGTTTCTCGTCAGTTTAACTTACCACCTAGTCGACTAGTTTCTCGTCAGTTTAACTTACCACCTAGTCGACTAGTTTCTCGTCAGTTTAACTTACCACCTAGTCGACTAGTTTCTCGTCAGTTTAACTTACCACCTAGTCGACTAGTTTCTCGTCAGTTTAACTTACCACCTAGTCGACTAGTTTCTCGTCAGTTTAACTTACCACCTAGTCGACCAGTTTCTATAATTCTTTCGTTTCATTATACCAGTAAACTTTAAAAACAGGCAATACACAGTTATTATATCACTATAGATATTAACATACAAATAATATTGTATCTATCTATCCTTGAAGTTTTAATGCATAAAGAATTCACCTGAATGAAAGTTCAATACACCACCTAGCAAGCTCGTTCCATCCACGCCTTCTTAATAATTGAGACTGATACAGTAGGCAATATATTACCGTCATCAATAAATACATAAACAAACATAAAACAATTGATATTACTCACTGGATAATAATAATTTGATTTACCCAGGAAGTGATTTTATGTAAAACAGATACGACTGTTAAATATTTACTTTACCAACTGAAAGAACTCAAGTTTACCTATACATCATGACATCACCGTTAATATGTATCCCTTTACAACAAGTTTTTTTTCGTTCTGTTTTAAAACTTCTTAGCATGTAAATATTATAATCCTTTAGCGACATTTAGGGGTAGAGATCACATTAAATAACGAACACAATTTTATGGTATTCTACTCCTTAGTTTGTAGATTGTAGATTGTTGAAACGTAGTGTGTAATAAAACTAAGGAGTAGTATACTATATAAACTAAGATGACAATGTAGATTGTTGAAACGTAGTGTGTAATAAAACTAAGGAGTAGTATACTATATAAACTGATGATGACAATGTAGATTGTTGAAACCTAGTGTGTAATAAAACTAAGGAGTAGTATACTATATAAACTGATGATGACAATGTAGATTGTTGAAACCTAGTGTGTAATAAATCTAAGGAGTAGTATACTATATAAACTGATGATGACAATGTAGATTGTTGAAACGTAGTGTGTAATAAAACTAAGGAGTAGTATACTATATAAACTGATGATGACAATGTAGATTGTTGAAACCTAGTGTGTAATAAAACTAAGGAGTAGTATACTATATAAACTGATGATAACAATGTAGATTGTTGAAACGTAGTGTGTAATAAAACTAAGGAGTAGTATACTATATAAACTGATGATAACAATGTAGATTGTTGAAACGTAGTGTGTAATAAAACTAAGGAGTAGTATACTATATAAACTGATGATGACAATGTAGATTGTTGAAACGGGGTGTGTAATAAAACTAAGGAGTAGTATACTATATAAACTGAAGATGACAATGTAGATTGTTGAAACGGGGTGTGTAATAAAACTAAGGAGTAGTATACTCCTGGATGGTTCCAACTGTAATTTAACGTCATTGATACCAGCCCATGGAAACAAGAATATTAAAGTCAGAATTTATTCTTTAAAGATCTGCTTCACACAGAGAAAAAGAGGCCACAGACTTGGACTTCTGGATGAAGGGAATGACCAACAAAATAGTGGAAAAAGAAGCATGTCTGGTTAACAGCTAAATATCAGCTATAATGTGATGAGAAGACTGGATGAGAATAGTACTCTCAAAAAGGCACTGGCCAACATCATGAAGTAAAAAAACAGAAATAGTAACATAGTGTTATGGTGAAATGAGAATTTGGTACGAAGGTATGAAGCAAGGACTATTCATTTACAAGTGCTGATTATCTAAGTTATGTTTTGTTTGTGTTATATTCTACACAGTGTGGATTAAAGCTGGATATCGATTACCAAATTGAGATAGATTATCGATGGCAGACTACCAATAAATAAAAGAAATCTTTTAAATACTAAATAAAAATCATGTCCAAATTCTTAACTTCTTGAGTTATTTTTGCGTCATAGAAGTATATTCTAATTTTGATCAGTTATTATAGTTTATTGAGGGTATGTTATGTGTTATAGAAGTATATTCTAATTTTGATCAGTTATTATAGTTTATTGAGGGTATGTTATGTGTTATAGAAGTATATTCTAATTTTGATCAGTTATTATAGTTTATTGAGGGTATGTTATGTGTTATAGAAGTATATTCTTGTTTTGATCAGTTATTATAGTTTATTGTGGGTATGTTATGTGTTATAGAAGTATATTCTTGTTTTGATCAGTTATTATAGTTTATTGTGGGTATGTTATATGTAATAGAAGTATATTCTTGTTTTGATCAGTTATTATAGTTTATTGTGGGTATGTTATGTGTTATAGAAGTATATTCTTGTTTTGATCAGTTATTATAGTTTATTGTGGGTATGATATGTGTTATAGAAGTATATTCTTGTTTTGATCAGTTATTATAGTTTATTGAGGATATGTTATGTGTCATAGAAGTATATTCTTGTTTTGATCAGTTGTTATAGTTTATTGTGGGTATGTTATGTGTTATAGAAGTATATTCTAATTTTGATCAGTTATTATAGTTTATTGTGGGTGTGTTATAGAAGTATATTCTTGTTTTGATCAGTTATTATAGTTTATTGTGGGTATGTTATGTGTTATAGAAGTATATTCTTGTTTTGATCAGTTATTATAGTTTATTGTGGGTATGTTATGTGCTGAAGGGAAACTATGTGGAAGAGATTAATACTTGTTAACAGGTACAGGGGTTAAAATATAATGTTGACATATAACTGATTATTTATATATTTCGATGATTGATAATTGAAATTATAAATCAATTGAGGCAATAATTATTTATTTAGATTATTTTACCCAGTGAAGTAGAAAAAAAACTTTTTTGTTGTCATTCAGTAATATGGCTATATTAAATTGTTGAGGTTTTGTGAATTTTGGTATTATTAATTAAAACGTATTAATCATCCACATACTTATTCATCTACCATTCTTAAATTGGTGTCGTTCCTTTAACAACTATTTAAAAAAGGATAGAAAACTTTCTGTAGATGTTAAAACTATTTTAAATCAATAACTAACATCTGACACGGAAATATTTCCTCTACTTTCAATTTCAGCTAAACTCATTCCGGATTCTCATTGAGTCGATATAAACCTGAATCAGTTGAGCCCAGACATCTCGTCTAATCTCGACATAAAGAAATTTTCAAAAACTGACAAAAATAAAACAACTGTGAATTGGGTGAGGATTAGACTGAAAATTAACACATTAGTTCAATTTTAACACATTTTTAATCCCCTTTGTGAAAATCAACCATAAAAATCGCCCATGAAATGAAATGGGAGGACCCTAATAGTCACGTGATCTCTCCACCACAGCCATTTCTCAATATTAGTCAGGAAAATTACAAGAAATTTGAAACAAGGTCTTTTCCGAATTTAACTTTTTTCTTTGGGTTCAAAGGTTAGTAAAACTTTAATTCGATATTTCGAGATCATTTTTACATCATTTTTGCAAATAGTTAAGGTTGAATTTCATTGCAATTTGTATTTTAAAATGTGCCGGTATCCGCATCGCTAGTTTTCTTTGTCGAACTAGAGTTTATAGCTGCCGGAACAAAGAGACACTGAGAAGTCGGCGATGAACAAAGGATCTTATTTGACCCCCGTTTCATTGCAAAACAGCAGGCTTTATTGCTGTTAACCGTTTTGCACGGAATATTTTGAAATTTGTAAATTATTTTGCGCTAAATTGATATTTGAATATAAAACACGTGGTTTTCATATACCACGCTGCAGAGCGCGTGACGCTGTATTATGAAAAGTAGGTCAAATTTATTTCTGCTGGGAAAAATCACGTGGAATAAAAATAAGGCGGGAAATTACGTCAGGTGGAATATCGACTCCTAAATTAAAAATTTTTGAAACTAGATGTTTATTACGAATGGGTTTTTCAAATGAAAGTGGAATTGAAGACTTGTCTAATTACGTTTGTTAATGAATTTGAATGAAAACTAAATGTCTGTAAATTGGAGACGGAAAGTTGTCCTTGCTAGGGTGTCTGTAAATTAGAGACGGAAAGTTGTCCTTGCTAGGGTTAGATCGTAGAGAAATAAATGTTGTATAAAACTTCACCCCAGGCCCGTGGCTAGAGAGGGGGGGCTATTTCTTGTTGAGTCACTATAGTTGAGCCCCGGGACACTGGGCAAGCTACTGGCCTAATTTTGGAATATTTTGGGGATAATGAGGCCTCTTTTTCCAGTCCAGTGTAAATTGTAGGCGTGAAAAAGGTTGCAAGGAAAACTCTGAAATGTAAGAATTTATTAGAGGAGGGGGGGGTGATACAATTAACCAAGGATTCTTAAAGGCGAAAAAAAAAATTTTGGAAACCCCCTGTTTCAAAAGTGCAGTCCAGATGTCATACTTAAAATTGCAATTTAAAGACCCCATTGTATTCATTACTGTAAAAATGAATGAGTAAGGATTCATTGGAAAAGGGGGGTGATGCAATCAACCAAGGCTTTCTCAAGGGGGAAAATTAAGGTTGAAAACCCCAATTTTAAGGGTGTTTGAATAAAATTCTGAATTTTTTTTTCAAGATGGTTTTAAAAGCCATGTCCACATGTCATACTTGTTATTAAAAGACTTCATTGTATTCAATACTATAGTTCAATAGGGGTATAGTAGTAAAATTCCGTTAAATTGTTGTTTTTCAAGATGGCTGCTGAAAATGGGGAGGAGCAGATGGACCAAGTGACAGAAGACCAACTTTTAGGAATTAAACAAGAAGACATGGAAACCGAGCTCAATGGCTACGCAGACGATTTACAGAAATTACTGGATTACGGAATTTCACGTAAAGTTTCCATGCAACTCATCAAAATTTATATAGCAGGTACAGGTACATCGTTTTACTCGCATTTCTTTAGCATGAAATATTTATTCTAAAGACTTGAGAAAGGCTAGAAAACATCTGAATAGAACCCTTTCAACATCAGATTGTTGTTGGATTTCAGGCCCTGTATTCTTGAAATGATCTTAGCACTAGAGCGTCCTAAAAACAGTATTAGAAGTGAAGACCCTAGAACATCCTAGCACTGAGATTAAGAGAATACTGGACCTAGGTTACGTTATGTCTGTTTTATTTACACTTACAAGTTCAAAGGGTAAAACATGGTTGTCCAACCTAAATAATCTGTCATCCCTTCCCCACCCCTCTTTTCTTCAAATCAGGACTAATAGCTTGGACATTATTGCCTGAACAAAGAAAAAAGTTTCGAATTTTTCTTTTTTTATGAGAATTTGAAAAGCAGCCTACAAATAGTACTTTTAGTCTTAGAATGTCTTTGATAAAAATAAAAAACATAAGCACACATCATATCTTAAAAACATGTTTTTACAGAGGACAATTTTCAGCCAAAATTTGTCGCTTTTTTGGGAATTGAAATTTCTAGGAGAGAAATGTGTTTCTTTTCAATGTAAACATACAAAAGATTATAATTTGATCAACTCAAAGACATTCTCAGACTAACAGTACTATTTTGAGGCTGATATTTCAATTCTCATCAAAAATACCGAAAAAATTCAAAAAACTTTTTAATTTGCTCAGACTTAAGGTAAAGAGATATAAACAAAGAATAAGAAATATTGTAAAATACATATTTTAATGGAATATCTGTCTGGTTGATGCAGGTGTATTGTTATACATAGAGACCTTCCATTTTGCCTATCTTGATGTCTGCATAATTGACTAAATTAAAACCCTCCCCAATATTTTCCTGAATCATTCTTGTGCTATCAGTTGTAGTGATTTTCCACTGAGCCTTGATATTTGTGTAGAACATATTTTGCTTTCTGTTTGCAGGAAATTTGAAACCATCCGATCTAGATGAACGAGCTCTAGATGCTCTGAAAGAATTCAATGCTGACGATGCCGTGGAAGTTTTAAAACAATTCAACGAAAGTAATCTAGAACATGTCGGCAATAAAAGTGCATTCCTGTGCGGACAGATGAAAACTTTCCGTCAAAAATCGAAACAAGGAGCCCAAGCTCCATTAGCTAAAGGTCCCGATGAGGCCAAATTAAAAGTAAGTTTTTTTACATCACTTGGGTTACATTTCTTCGATTATGCTATTCATACAAATCTTAATAGACAATTGTGGAAGATTAATGCCAATAGTTTGGGTCAAGGACCAGAACTACCAGCAGGTAAAATATCGGAATTTCTCATTTTTTTATGACATTGAACGTTCAATTATTAATCTTTATTTTCCAAATTTGAATTTTGTATTTAATTTAATATTTTGATTTTGTTTTTTTACAGGAAATCTTGGATAGAACGGGTTACACATTAGACATCACCACCGGTCAACGTAAATACGGTGGACCTCCCCCTGATGCAGATGGTGTCCAGCCTGGACCAGGACACGAGGTGAGCATGCCCTTTATTAATGTTGAATGGTTGCTTGAGGCCCACAGTGACTCAGTGATATCGATTCTGACTGGCTGACCTGGCTTGCCCTGTCATTGACAAGAGGGGCTGACCTTTGGAAAAAGCCTCTAGCCATTTGTATAATCAATGTACAGGGGATTTTGCCCGTGTATAACAGTCTGTATTACCTGAAAAAATTTCCCTTATTTGTACACTGCCAGGTGTTGATTTGATAAAGTTGCTAACCCACCACCATTGATATTTTGCCGGGTGTTGATTTGATAAAGTTGCTAACCCACCACCATTGATATTTTCCCGGGTGTTGATTTGATAAAGTTGCTAACCCACCACCATTGATATTTATATGATAATATAAGACTGAAATTGATCTGATATAAAGTGGGTTTATTCGTTGCTTTATAAAGACAAAATAATTTATGATTTCAGGTGTTCGTGGGTAAAATCCCGAAAGATATATTTGAAGATGAATTAGTACCCCTCTTCGAGAAAGCCGGTAAAATTTGGGATCTGAGATTGATGATGGATCCCTTATTGGGTCAAAATCGTGGGTACTGTTTCGTTACTTACTGTGACAAGACCAGTGCGAAACAGGCAGTTAAAGAGGTGCGTAAAATTACAATTTTCATTCCCTCAAAAACCTCATTGTATCATATTGATCATTCATAATTCTCGAGATATTTATAACAAGTTTTTGAAAATAATCCAAAATTATGATTTATTTGATAATTTTTGTTGAAAAGAGATTTTTATTTTTTTGTTTTTTTGGTAACTTTTTAAAAAAGAATTGAATATTTTGTAATTGTCAATGTATTTTGGTTTTTATGAAAGTAAATATATAAAATATAGGATAAGAATCTCCAACCTAGGGAATATAAAGACATCCCTTCTGAATTAAATATATTCAAAAATAAAAAAACTGTTTCGATACATTTTCTATTGGCTTTGATTCGAGGTTTTGTTTTCAGTGAAAACAAGTTATCCTCCAAAGAAAATATATGGAAACGAAATTTTGAAATTTAACGAATTTTTTTTGGACGTGAATGTCTCTTGCAGCTGGATGATTACGAGATTAGAAAGGGAAAGTCTTTAAAAGTTAATATCTCCATTGCTAATTTACGATTGTTCGTTGGAAATATCCCTAAAAACAAGACAAAAGAAGAAATTCAGGAAGAGTTTTCCAGGAGAACAGGTACCTAAAATCTGGGAGCAAAAATCACAAAACTCTCACATTTTTTATTTCATTTTGGAGCAAAACTTTCGAGAAAAAAAAAAATTCAACAACTTGGTGTGGTTAAATCACAAAGCACAAAATTTAAAAATTTATATTCGGCCATTTTTTATTTGCTGCGGTACAATTTCCTGTACACTGATGTAAATTAAATGATGTAATTTGATTGGCCAAAATTAAACAGTAAATATTTTTTGAAAATTTCAGTCTTCCCAGATTGAAGTGGCAACATGGTTGCTAATAGAAACCTGCAATATAATGCATATGATTTGTTTTACCTAGATATTTTTGAAAAATTATATTTGAATTTTGCAGACGGACTACAAGACGTTATTATATATGGGTCTGCTGATAATCCAAAATTGAAAAATCGAGGATTTTCATTCCTTGAATATGATTCTCATAAATCTGCGTCAACTGCCAAGCGGAAGATCGGGTCTGGTAGAGTTAAAGTTTGGGGTTGTGACATCATCGTTGATTGGGCTGACCCCCAGGAAGAACCAGATGATGAAACTATGGATAAGGTAAGGACTGCGATTTCCTGTATTTTCTTTGTATTTTTTGGGGTCTGTCATTTCAAATCCAGATAAGATAAGATCAGAGTGAATTGAAGGGTTACACCATATTGCCATTTATGTTGAAATCATCAGCTTAAAGATGGGTTTCCTTATGTTTTTTTTTTATGAAAATGCTAATACTAATATTTATGTTGAAATTTGTTAGGTTTAATCGTCAGATTTAATATCAGGCAGGTTTAAAATTGGTGTCAGTTGTATTAAAATAAATTATTAAAATATCAATTAGACGGGACACAACGGCTTTAAAATAAACAATTTTTGACCAATCACAGTCCAGCTCCTAAAGGAAATCAACCACTGTCCTTGAGGCGTTTTAAACTGTGTATAGAAAGTTGACTTCTATTTTACGACCAACTCATATCTTTACTGTTAGTTGGAGAGAAATAGAAAACTACAATAAAATATTGGCCATATTGTATTTAAAAGAACAGTAGACTCTGTTAATGATATAAAATAGATTAAGGAAAAGATTACAAAAAGGTAACAGCAGGCATGACTTTAATAAGACAAGTGATAGAATATTTCACTCTTACAGCATATAGTTAAAAATAATTAAAAGTAGGAGTGTGCGGGAGAGTTTAATAGCTAGAAGCAGACCATACTTACTTTTTTCTAAACACCTGATGGTACTTCTCTTTGGAGGAGTCCACTCTTATACTACCTTAACTCTTGAATTTGTTAAACATTGGACGAGATTTTGATTAACGGAACTGTCTGGCTAGTGAAGATATTTATTAATAGCACATAATAAGGTGTGAATTTTCAGACTTCCATGGTTTCAGCACGTGTATAAATGGTAAAATCCATTCTGAAACCATTGTATTGTAGTATTGGTCTATCCTGCCAGTTGTCCTCAACAAAACACTTAATATTTTTCCGTTGTATCGTTCCAGGTGAAAGTTTTATACCTCAGAAATTTGACATCAGAAGTTTCCGAAGATTCTTTAAAAGAAAAGTTCGAAGAATATGGTAAAGTTGAACGAGTCAAGAAAATTAAGGACTACGCTTTCGTCCATTTTGAGGAAAGAGAATCCGCAGTGAAGGCAATGGAAGCTTTAAATGGACAGGTAAGCCTAGCATAACGTGTACATTCTGAAAGAGTCAAGAAGCTAGTAAGCCTTGCCATGTACTTGGTCAAATTTGGACGAACATAACGATTTTGATTGGTTTAAGGCAGTGGTTCCCAACCTATTTCAGCCTTCACACCCCTGGAGCTATCACCTGGACCTTTCACACCCCAAAAATTTGTTTCAATTCAAAATAAATTCTTCTCCTACACCAGTTGGCCACACCCCTGAAAACCCTAGTCCCCCAGGTTGGGAACCAGCCTATTCAGGATTAGAAAAGGGAAAACTCATCCCTCACGTTCCTACCCTCACCAATCTTGAGTGTTGACCCACAGCCTGACAACTATTTTGGACACCATGTTTAATCTAGTTTTATATAAACTGTGGAGAGAAAATGGCTGCCATCGCTAAGCTGTAAAATCTCTACATGGTTTTAACGGCACGTCTGGTTAGCTACATGTTATTTTTATATTGAGGTGAAAATATCTGATACAAGAATCAAACCCAATCTGTATTTATAATTTAAAGTAATTTAACAGACAGACATATTTAATAAAATGAGTTACTAAAAACATCTGGGATATTGGTTAAGAGTTATCTCTCTTTGAGAATCATATTTTTTTTGAGAATTTCACAAACTGTAGGATGTACTTCAAATATTATTTCAATTATAAGATTATTGTTAATCTGAAGAATTTAACAAATATATTGAATAGTAACCTGTATATTCTCAATCAATTAATCTCTTAATTCTTTAATTTTGTTTTTTTAACAGAAAATTGGTAATTTGGAGGTAGAGATCTCACTAGCTAAACCACAGAATGAAAGTAAGAAGAAAGAGGCGAGAAAACGAGAATTTGATAGAAGATTTGGGGGTAGAGGTTATGGAGGGTAGGTATTTCAGTTATTCTGTTGTCAATGAAATCAACAACCCCATTCCCATAGTATTATTTTTCTATAAATCTTGTATGGATGGGACAATAAACCAAGGCTCCGTGTTCTACAGGCTGTGCACGTTAAAGATCCCTCGACAGTTGGAAATCAAAAAAGAGCAGACTGTTCTGGCAAAATTTCTCTCATTGCGTCCTGCGTTGCCCGTCTTCATTTGCTCACATTGTGCAGAAAAGTAGGATGTAAAACTCTTTTCTTTGAATCTTATATCCATGTGTAAAACTTTCCCAGAGTGGGTACAAGTCTGAACTAAGTTCCCATCTGAATGATGCTGCTTCATTTTAAAACCCATTGACCTGATGAAGACTATATATCTGGAACATTGATACATACTTTAAACTAAATCTTCATTAGAAGATATCAAAACAAAACTTTGCTCTGGACGACTAACAATAGTTGATATAGTTGCTAGGTATTAAGATGATGATTAAATGTATAATTTGTGTATGTTGATATTTGTAGTTATGATGATTATTGGGGACCTCCTACTAGAATGCCTCCAGGTCGAGGTGGTATGAGATCTAGAATGCCCATGCCACCCAGAGCTTATCAAGGTAAGTCACAAAATATCATTTCTTATATTTTTTTGTATGATTATCACGTAAGAACGTTACCTGTATGTGTAATGAAACATTGTGTTTAAATAATAAATAGAAGGTTATATCTATAACAACTGTTGTCTCTTAATGATTTCATATCTCTCTAAGGTCTGCCCTTACCAAGTGTTAATTTGAACAATTCTAAATGAATTCACCCTGGCGAGATCTCAAGTAAATTCGAAACAAGTTAATTCAAAATTAGAAATAGGTTGGGGACATGGAAGTGCTGGTTAAAACAACAATCTATAAAGCTATAAATAAACTTTAAAACACCCATTACTGGTACTGTACAATAACCAAAAAAAACTTGATAATATTGAGATCTCTATAACTTGAAAATGTCTCTGAAATTTCTTAACAATTTATTATAAAATGATTTTCAAAAGAAAGAAAATACTAACGTGATTTCTACCTAAATTCACTTCATTTATTATTTCTTTAATTATAGATCCTTACTATGATGATTTCTATGGTTACGATGATTATGATTATTATGGAGGGTATGCCCCAATGCCACCCAGGGGCCGCGGCGGACGTGGAGGTATGCCACCCGTAAGTATATTTAACGGAACAACGCTGCCTGGTTCTGTTATTGTCTGTATGGTAGGAAGGTAGCAGAGTAGCTGGCCCTATTTTTATGTTGTTGATGTGGCAGTAGAAAATTAGAATTTTATGTGTTCACTTACAAAATTTAATATTTTCAAAATTTGCTTCGAATTTCTGCTCCTGTTTTGGTTTCGATTATTTGTTTGGTTTTTTTGTCCCGATTTGGTTTGGGTAATTTATAAAATTTGTTAATTCAATGGTTTGATGCTAGAAAATAAAGGTATTGCTATTTTTAAAAAAATTGACCTTACAAAATTCAGAATTATACTTCATTATTGTAAGCCAAAAAAATATCAAAAATAAATTGCAAAATTAGCCAAGTTTCTTACTTGAGTTCATTTTTGTAGGCCAAAATTAAATTTTTAAAAATTTAAATTTGAAATTTTCGCGGTGGTAGTTTTAGGGTCGTGATTAGTAGTCGGGTCAGGGTCTCGTCTTAGCGTTGTTCCGTGTCACTAGGTAGGTTGTGTTCTAAGGTAGGACTAGAGGTTTTATTTTTAGATTAGGTACCTGAAGATGATGCTGAGTAGAAAAAGGACTTTTGGACGGATATTTGCAGGATGTGAGTTCCTCACGACATTGGTGCGAGGCTGGACTAACTTACTCTTCAGGCTGGACTAACTTACTCTTCAGGCTGGACTAACTTACTCTTGTCTAAGAAATGGTCATTCAGAACAAGTTAAAGCATAAGACATGACAGAATGACTTTCAGAAAGCCTGAACAAAACACATGAACAGACAAGACGAATGATTTTAAGACCTTGAAATTTCAAGAAATTTTGACTTGAAATATTGAGACTAGGACACTTCTAAAAATTCTAAAAACAGCTGATCAAAGTAAATCTTTTATGGAGAGATAGATGATAAAATTTCTGAATTAAAACTTTTGTTTCAAAATCACAGGAAGCGTAATATTGACTGAAAATATTTGAGAGAATTTGGTTGATTTGACTTGGACAGAAGGTGAAGAATTGTCAATCTGGACAGTCGTAATCAAACTGGTCTCTACTTCTATTTTGCTTGAATATAATAAAACAATTAAAATTTATAATATACCCAATAAGGGCATCTTGTGTGTTGACAGCCCCACCCCACCCACAGCCTGACAACTATTTTGGACACCATGTTTAATCTAGTTTTATATAAACTGTGGAGAGAAAATGGCTGCCATCGCTAAGCTGTAAAATCTCTAAATGGTTTTAACGGCACGTCTGGTTAGCTACAAACTTGAAAAAAAAATGAGAGATTTGACGGATGAGACATACTGATCTGGTTGATAATAAAGGAAGTTTCAGGGGTTGATTAAAAAGTGACCAAACTGTAGACTGTTGAACTAAAGTTTTCATAGAAAGTTTTGCAGAATGTCTTAAGAGTTGAGTTAGCTAGAAGTTGATTGAAGTTTAAATTGTTAATTGTTAAGGTAACTTGTTATTAAAAGGGATTGTAAAGATGTTTTCTGATCTTGTTATAGGTGATAATAGTGACATTGAAGTAGTTTTGGGACGTCTGAGGAAAAAATAAAAAAACCCAAATCAATGCTGTTTGTTGTGACATATATAAAAGTTTAGAAAATCTTTTTACAATCCCTTTAAACAGAATTACATGTAATGTATCATTAATACACTAAGTTGTAGATCACTCTATTAGTCAGTTTGTGTGTTTGAGGATTAACAGATATGATCAGTGTTCAATTGTGTAGTTCTCGTTAGATTGCAGAAGTAGTTTTAAGTCAGTTGATTGAAAATTAGACCCAACTTTTGGTTCATCTTTTTTTTAATTAGATTTTATATTTAGTTTAGCTACTTCACAGTGGGGTCTAAAGACTGGAGTTTTGATCATTCATCAAATTAACCTTTGACCTACTTGTGAAGTGGCTATACTAAAAATAAATACTGATAAAAAAAAAAATCGAAAGTTGGGTCTAATTTTAAGTGGACTAAGATTGAAGTTAAGTTTTTGTTGGTGGTGGTCAGTTTAGGACTAGAAGTTGTCTTCCAACAAGACTTGTCACTATTTTCTTTTATAAATAGGAAGTTTATTCATCCACAGTTTGTTTTCAGATTGTTTCGATTGTGAAGGATCAGTTTTTGTTTAGGATTTGCACCTAGATGTTTGCACTGCATGAATTAACGTTTCACTAAAAACCGTCCCTGAAATCTCAGAACAGCTCTTGTGCATTTTTATAATTGTACAGGTGACATTCTGCGTAGAGCATTGACAAGAAATTCTTTAAAAATATTCTGTGTGAAAACAGATTGAATTTCTTGCTACAGATAGTGAAGAAAATCCCAGCTTGGATATTTCACTTAAGTCTTGGAATTAGCATGAAAAACAATGTACATTCCCCATTATTTTATAACATGGCTGTAGAATGAGTTGACTATTTAGGAAACTGACTAACATAGTAATTTTTAATATATAGTTATGATGTTTGTTTTTTCCAGCCTATGCGAGGTCGAGGGGCCCCAACCCGCGCACCAGGCAGAGGCGGCCCTTCCGCACGAGGCCCTTCTAGGGGTGCTCGTGGGGGAGCAGCAGGACGCGGTGCATCCGGAACAAGAGGTCGCGGTGGTATGCAGAAGTCAATGGCAACACAACAACGTGGCGGAAAGAGAAAAGCAGCCGGTGATTTCAACATAGGGCAATCAAAACGACGAAACATGGCCGATAGTTGGGGAACTCAACCCATAGCTCAGCAACCCCTGGATCAATCGGTGGGGTATGGTGCAGCAGGCGGGTATTCTGGGGGTAGTGATTCACAGTGGTATCAAGATTCTTACGGACAAAACTGGGGATAAAATCCATGGCAACGTTATTTGTAATATAAACTTGGATGTCGGAATAAATTCTGGACCCAAATTTCCTGACGTCCAGAGAATTTTATCCTTAATTTAAAAACAAAAAACAGTATAGGATCTGCTGTGAACGGAACCCTGGCAGGATTTTTGGTTGCCCTAATTTGAAGAGGCAAGTGCATTAAAGAACGATTTTTATCGAGAAGACAGCCTCAGAATGGATTGTGAAATAGTGAACTACGTGAATTGTCCAATGTGGTTTTAAATTCGGACAAAACGGAATGGAAAAACATCTCGGAATCGCATGCGGAGTGAAAATATTTTTAACGAGGCAGCTGAACTAGATCCAACATCCAACTTGGTTTTAATTGTGATATCGCTAGCAAAGCTTCGAGCAACTCGCTGGAAGAACTTGCTCATTCAATACATCAAAAATGTCTTCGTTGGTCAACTGATTCTGTCTGAAATATTCTCGACTCAGTTCATTAAAATCTTTAATTCAGCGTAATTTCTCCATCAGTCATTCAGAACTCTTTAATATTTAAGTAAAGTTTCTGAAGTGATTAAAACTTGATCAGGATTTAGTGTTGATTTTGATTGAACTCAGTCGAGGAAGAAACCAACTGAATTTGAATTGATCAACGTAGATAAATTACCCAAGTCATCACGTATGATGTTAAAATTTTATTTTTCGTCATCGAAACTTCATAAACATTGTGTTCACCATCTAATAATTTTATTCCAATTCAGTTTTGTTAGATAATTTTCACGTCACTTGGCAGCCGAGTTGATTCTTGCGTGGAATTTGAAAGCAACTCTTTAATAGGCTTTGTCATTCGAGCTGTGAAAACTTGAATGTTTTGAAAAATCCATGAAGAATTCACGCTAAAAGTTACATCAACGAAAATGGGATTATATCGAAGATATTCAATTGGCTACCATGTGACGTTGAGATTTTGAAACAAAGCTTGTTGATTGGTCAGAATAACACTAGGACTCTATTCGCCATTATGATTGTGAAAAACTCTCAAAGTTTAATTTTTTATAAATTCATGGAGGGAAATCGCGACAATTTTTTTCGGATCATGCGTCTAATTTTTTTTATTTTCTTTTTGGCTCGAGAAGCTATCATGTATCATTCATATAAATATTTTTCTTTTTGATATATAAAAAATGGCCTCCGTGAGCAAGGAATTTTCAAAAAAAAAAGGTCGGTTACTTTTATTTTTGGCCTCATCAAAATTTTGATCATTCATAAATTTCCTTTCTCATTTGGAATAATGGTTTCTATGGTTACCATGGTTTTATGTGTAGATGTATATTGAAAAAAGAAAAATAATCAAAAATATTTATTTCGTTTTTATTATTAGTCTGGGGGAATGAGTTGGTTGCGGCACTGGGCATTATTCTTTTCTCGTTCACTTGGATTGTCTTGGCACCTTGAACTAATAGATTGAACTATGGTTCTTACCTTTAAATGGAGAATCCCGTACCTATCTTATTAACCCTTCTATTTAATGACATAGAAGAGGCGAGAATGTTGGTGTCCCTTTTTGCAAGGATTGAATAACTTAAACGATCGGTTTCAAATTTTTCTGAATTTCAATAGCCCACTCAGTGTGGTTGATCTGTCCCAATTTTCTTTCACAGACCGGAGTCCGAAACCAACGAATTAACAGAGCATAAGAAATAAACTGACAGACAAAAGAAAGTTTTCACCGACTTCATTTGACCACACACCAAAGACAAAGGAATATGTGAGATATATGATGATCGATTTATAAAGAGAAATCAATTTCCTTGAATTAGAATGAAAATACATTGTAATACCGATATTCAATTCTCGGCAATACACAAAGGAAGAGTCAAGGGGTCAAAATTAAAAATTACACAAACCAGAGTTCATAGCAAGAGTACATAAAGAGTTTATTCCATGACAGTAGTCAGGCAAAATGTCATCAATAACGAGTGTGGGCAAACACACGCCTCCTCATTGACGTCGTCAGGCGGCGGATAACGTCAACAGGAATCCTGTTCCATAAGTTCAATAGAGTCTGTTCAAGTTACTATCGGTTCACTGGAGTTGTCTCAACTGACGATCAAGAGATCCCAGAGATGTTCAATGTGGTTCATGTCTGGAGAACAAGGTGGCCAGGGCAATAACTCGAAATAGGATAGTCTTAAACAATTCAGACAGTATGAGGCCTTGCGTTATCTTGTAAAATTAATCCTCTTGGCCGTTGTTGAATAAAAGGCAGTACAACAGGTCTCAACACTTCATCAATATATCGCTGAGCATTCAGATTCCCTCGGATGATAGCCAGCCGTGTTGTAATCTGGCCACAAATGCCACCCCATACCATGACGCCTCCACCTCCAAACGGGTGAACTTCTATGATGCAGTTTGGCGCTAGTCGCTCTCCTCTTCGTCGAAAAACTCGAACCCTGCCATCGTTCCCGAACAGACAGAACCGACTTTCATCTGTAAAGAGCACCCTCGCCCAGTCACGTCGCTGCCACCGACGTACAGTTCGTGCCCACTGTAGTCTGCATTGAACTGAATGAAGTCTTCGAGGGACTGTTCGGCTGCTGGTTACATGACCTAGTTTTGTTGCGACGCCGCCGTCACCCATCTGTTTCGAAGATGAATCCTCCGGATGTAGCGGTCGTCGGCCGGTGTTGTCACTCTCCGTCTTCCCGATCTTGGTCGGTCTCGGGTCTGTCCTATCTGTTGGAGCCGGATTATCAAATTACTGATGGTGGTCTGGGAGCAGTTGAACGTTATAGCTATCTGTTGTTGAGAAGCCTCCATCTTGGCCATACCGATCGCTTTATCTCGTGCGCTTGCATGAGTCTCGGCATACTTTTGGTGGTTTTTCCC